TATACTGTATATATATATGCAACCACACTAAATGTGTCAGATTGACATTCCTAATTATATAAAATATATTACAATATATAACATAAAAAACTTGAAAGTAAAATTCATTCATAAATCTTTCAGATTTACGATACAGTCAAACTGAGATGAAGTGATGAACACCAGAATAAAAAGACGTTAGAGGATTGTAAGACAATAAATAACCAAATTAAGAGGCCTATTAGCGCTTCAAACTGAGCTGTGATACTCACAATGTGCAACTGCAGGTAGTCTCCGAGGCCCTGGCTGCTCTCCACCTGCATCAGGATGGCATCACTCTGCTGGGTGCTGAAGCCCACGGCCAAACGGTCCGCCCTGGTGCTTGGCCGATCATTGGGGGCCCAGGTGTACGTGATAAGCGCTCCTCCTCTCCCAAAAATATATGTGGTCCCAGCTGCCAAATGAAGGAAGACACGTAACATAAGCTAATGATTCAAAGATGTTGCATGAGACAAAGGAATATAAGAATGAACGCGAGTAAGATGTGGAGCAGCACAGCAGGAGGGATGCAACAATATGAGCGTGTGAGGCAAGATGGATGCTAAAGAAGCACCTCACATCACACATTTGCCCTGTGCTCTGCCTCATATGAGATAAAAGCGTCTCTGTCTTTAATAAGTTGCCATCTGTTCTGATGTGCCTTGAATGCTCATTTGCAATGTGTTTCCTTAGTGACAAACGTCATATTCAGGACTGGCATTTTCAGATACAAGCATCCAGCGCTGGTTTGGAGCTGAAATGCCTTATTGGCCTTGAAAAGCAGGGCCCATTTTAGTGCGAACTTCACCAACTTCTTGCCCTCTTGTTGCTCTTATTCTTCGCAACATACTTTGGTGCTAATATTTCACTGCGATTGGACATGGCATCGAATCACAGCGGCTGTATAGAAAAGAGGATCTGAAATGGAGCCAGTGCTGTGCTGCATCAGCTTGGTAAGAACCCCACCACAGGGCGGGATGGATGCCCGACATGCTTTAAACTGCCAAACTATCCGTGCTGAAACAGCCCTAGAGAATGAACCTGGGCAACTGTGTTGACCGATTTGCCAGGGTAAAACGAGAGGTTGTTATGTGAGCTGCCTCACTGTTGAAGTACAATAGCACAGTAATGGGAAAAGGTGAATAAAGTCCAGCTAGAAAAACATCAAGAAGGTCGCAGAAACAAGACACATAAAAAAAAAAAAATCTAAAATAATGTAGGAAGAAGGTATTTTTGCAATTACAACTGATCCTAATGAATTTCTTTTAAAGGCAGGTTAGGTGATCTGGTTAAAAACATTTTTTTTGTTATGCTGGTTGACAGTCTCTTCACATCCCGACAGCAATCACTAAGTTAAGGGGTCTAAATGCATTTATATGTATTTATATAGTTTGTAAGGTGTAGGACCATAAAATCCAATCATATTCCTCGGTCTGAGGACTACGATAGGCTGTCCTATCTGCCTGTCGACGTATGTATTTGCATATCTCTGCGCACCCTGTTCACGCAGACATGATCAGCGTGCGTGCCATTGCCACTGGCGCGTGAGAATGGAAGGCGTTATTATTGTAATATTATGCGCTTTGTAC